CGGTCTCCAGTCACTCACCGTCCTTGTGGAAAGGTTTCGTCACGCCGTCCTCGCAGACCATGTGCAGGTCGTGGAAGTGCTGGGTGACCTCCGGGTGGAAGGACAGGGTGGCCGTGCCAACGAGTGCGTAGTCCACCTCCCCGCTGTCGATGGCCCTCTTGCCCAGCTCCAGCGCGGACAGGCCGCTGCAGAAGCCAGTGTCGAGCGCGTAGCTCGGACCTGTCTCACAAAAATAACGTTTCATTTTGTAACAATTATAACTGTTTATTAAAAAGTTATTTCATTTTCATCATTATTCAATTATAGGAATAATGCAGAGTGCAGAGTGTCTGATACGCCCCATAATTGGCCGGTAAAATATAAACAGTTTCCAGAGGTACGGGACACCTTGCACCAGTACACAATTAAATATTATTTTTTAGACCCACCACAATGATTGAGAACACTCTGGCGGGCGGGATAATGGCACCGTGCAGAAAGTGGTAAGTACTGGACTTGACAATTGTGTTTCTCAAATATCTTACTTGCCTTTAAAGTCGAAGAAGAACGAAACCCGGTTGGCCATCATGGAGCGGTTGTGGCCCATGATCCCGAAGCCGTTCTCGGCTGTCGTCTGGATGAAGATGTTCTCGGACTCGCTCAACGCTGAGGCCATGAACACCGCCGTGCGGGTGCCGCGGATGTGCATGGGGTTGATCCCTGTCGGAGAGGAAGGCCGTGAGGGAGGGCGATAGTCCACTTTACCAACTCATTTGTCACATGGTTCATTGTGTTCAAACTTTGCCGCTAGATTGTGTAAGCCATCGCTACTCCAGCCCCGGCGCGGGTCCTAGCGCCCGCCAAGTGCAGGGTAGGCCACGCGCCGCGCGCGGGCGTCCAGCGGGCTGGAGTGTGGCCTACCCACCGGGCGCCGAGAGCTCTTACCAGCGTCCACGATGGCCTCGAAAACTCGCTCCATGAGGACCCTGGACAGAGGGTCGGTCGCATCCGTCAGCTTCCGGTGCATGCCGAAGAACAGCGCGTCAAATTTATCGATGCCGGTCACCTTGCCCGTCATGCCCACGAGGCCGAGGCGACCTGCGCAGAAACAGTGAATGAGGTGTCCTCTCTGCCATGCACTCATCCTCCCCTCCCAGTGACAAGGGGTCTCGCTTGTTTGGTCTTTTTATTTATCCTTTTTAGCAGATGATACCTTACGTACCTTACACTGAGACTAAACATAAGTAAACATAAGCGTATTTAAGTTAGATGTCAGCAGCTTTTACTCTCGGTAAGGACAGAGTAGCGGAAGCAGGGCCAGCAATCTGTTACACCGGGTGTCCGCTTCCCCCTCGCCCTCCGCGTCTGTGCGCCAGAGCGTAGGCAACCCATCGAGATGCCGCGTACTTTCCCGGTATTGTGCTAGGCTGGCCGCGCCGCGCCAGCCCCCTCCCGACACTCCCCCTCCCACCGCTGGACCCCCGCCTCTAAACTAAACACACGGAGGGCGCCGTATTGTAAGCAAGCCGTAAATGAATGATATGGCGATAGACGATGCGAACACAACTCTTTTCCGTGATGTTTTTCTAAAACCCTACAATTTATTTTTAAATATGGGAGAAAAGTAGAACACAACCTTAGGCTTTATCAGCTTAAGGATCTTAACATCTTAACATCTTAACATATTAACAGATGCATTTTCATTATATTTAGCACTATGGCAATGATTTTTAGTTAAGAATGTGTTTAAATTGGTAAAAAGTGCCGACCGGAACATTTAGAAAGCTTTGCCATCGCTTCAGTTCGATGAAAAG